GTCAAATCGGAAAGAAGAGAATTGCCATTTCTTCTATATCTGGACTAAATATTTTTCTAATATTAAATGGTCTACTTAATGTCATATTTTTACATCTATGCCAGACGAGCGGTACGGCAACGATGTCAACATATCCTAGAGGGTACACCCTGGTGGTTGGGCAGATATTCACATTATGGTCAGCTCATACAGTCAAGGGCCATCATTATAACGACAGCGATATTTATACAGTGTAGGGTCTGACAAATACTTATTATAGTTCGGTGCGTGACAGTTCAGCATGACATAGCATGATAACACATTACATTATGCTGCGCACTCTTTCCTGTGTACAACCGCGTTAATACCGAACCAAGACAAAATGATCATCGGGAATTTATTGATTTTCTAGGAAGAAGTAACAGCAGTCACACCATAATGAAAGAAAGAGAGCCGCGGCACAGTGAGTAGGAAATGAAGAAAGAAGAAAAAGTGGAGACGTGAGAGCATGAACGGCGAATTGTATCTGAAAGAGAGAGAGAGAGCGAGACTGAGAGAGAGAGAGAGAGAGAGAGAGAGAGAGATGAGAGAGATGCCGGCGCGAAAGAAAGAGTGGAGGAGTGATGGTATGAGCACTGCGAACTGGTAATCTGAAAAGAGAGAGATTGAGAGAGAGTGAGCAGAGAGCAGAGAGAGAGAGGGAGAGAGAGAGAGACGAGAGAGATGAGAGAGGATGAGAGAGAGAGAAGAGAGCATGCGCGAAAGAAAGAGTGTGAGGAGGTGTAGCGAGAAGCAGGGCGCGCGAAATGGGAATCTGAAAAGAGATAGAATGCAATAGTGACCGTGCCAAAAAAAGAAGGCGGATGAGAGAGGGATAGTCTGAAAAATGGAGAGATTTGGGGAGGGTGGAAAGGGTGAGTGAGTGAATGGTGTGAGAGCATCTGATAAAGAGACGCGAGCATTGTGCGGAGCAGGATGAGAGAGAGAGAGCACAGAGAATAGAGAGAGAGAGAGAGAGAGAGAGAGAGAGAAGAGAGAGAGAGAGAGAGAGCGAGAGAGCGAGAGAGCGAGAGAGCGAGAGAGCGAGACAGAGAAGAAAGCGAGCGATAGAATATTAGATAGTGCGAGATAACGTGAGAGCGAGCGCGAGCGCGAGATAGATCGATGGATCGATGGATCGATCGATAGATAGATAGATAGATAGATAGATAGATAGAAGATAAATAGATTAAGATAAAGAGAACAAAAAAAAGAAACAGAGAGATAGAGCGAGAGAGAGAGAGAGAGAGAGAAGGGGGAGAGAAAGCAAGAGGGATACAAG